AATTTGTATTTTTCCACTTTTCCCCATAATGACAATAGACATCTTCTTATACTCAGGTAGGTATAAGTTTCATTATTATTTACCAATCCATAAAGTTTCTTTATGTTACTTAGGTTCTCATACCCAACCACTGCCCAACCCTGTCTGCAGAAAAATACAACAATCTGATATTATAGACAAATTTATATATGCTGGAATGTATTAGGATAGAACCAGAGTTTAGAGACATCTGGCCTTCATTCATCTTGAATATATGTTTAAATTTATCTCTTTTGTTGCCCATGATAATTGTTCATTCTTAATATTAAATAGTGTAGCATTGTATAGCTACACGGCAAGTTTTATAATTTAGTTTATTTCATGTGTATATATGCTTGCCTACATATAGGTATGAAGAGCGCATGCATGCCTGTTGCCCATGGAAGCCAAGAGAGGACATTGAATCCCTTGGCACTGGAGTTAACAGTTGAAAACTGCCATGCTGGTTTTGGGAAATGAGTCTTTGCCTGTTGCCTGTTGCTGAGGTTGTTTTCAATTTCAGTGTCTTGTATATAAAGCTGTTGTGAACTGAAATAAATAAGTCTTTAAAAGAAAATATGTCCTCTTTCTCCAGGTTATATATTTGGGTTGTGATGGCCAGATGACAATTAACATATGAAGAAACAGAAAAAGATTTTTCCAAGTTATCATCCTGTTTTCCATGGCCACCAGCAGTGGGTATGGGAGAGTCATCCTCCACAAATTTGCCAGGTCTTTGTATGACAAGTCTTTATTTCTGAGTATTTTATGGGGTTGTCTAGAGTCCCCTCAGAGTCACCTGTTGATGGAGGAAGGTCATTGGCTAATAAAGGAACTGCCTTGGCCCATTTTATTGGTTAGAAGATAGGTGGGAGGAGTAAACAGAACAGAACGCTGGGAGGAAGAGGAAGTGAGCTCAGACTCCACAGCTCTCCTCTCGGGGGCAGACGCCTCAGAGAGACGCCATGCCCCGCTCCTGGGCAGACACACGAGATGAAGCTCCGACCTAGAATCTTCCCGGTAAGACCGGTGCTCACAGATTATTAGAGATGGGTTTATCGGGATAACAGAATTAGCCAGTAAGGGCTAGGGCTAAAGGGCCAAGCAGTGTTTAAATGAATACAGTTTCCGTGTAATTATTTTGGGTAAAGCTAGCCGTGGGGGCGGCCGGGTGCCGGGGACGCAGCCCCAGCGCCCTTATTACTACAACCTGTCTCTCTTCCCTAAGTGTTAAGGATGTTGCTGCTGTATGTTTCTCTTAGTGGAGCATCTACTCACCCTTCTGGTCAAGTTTTATTTCCTGAATTGTCTATTTTCTTAGTGTCTCCTTTAGAAGCTTTCTGTATTCTGGATACAAGAAGACTGTCATCTGATATACAATTTCCCACATTCATTTTCCCAGGTAAGAAAAATATGTTTCTATCATATATTTGGAAGAATAGATATTTTCTCACTTTATGGAATTCGTAACACTCCAGTTCTTCATTTAATGAAAGGGGGTTTGCCATATCTAAGAAGTTTGTTTGTAATTCATGAACCTGAACATCCAATTGTATTCTGCTACAAGATTCATGTTTAGGTTGTAATTTGGACTTCTTTTAGGTTTATTTTCCCTATTTACTGAGGGTCTGCCTGTATGTCTGTGTGTGCCAAATACACATTTGAGTGCAGATGCCCACTGAGACCAGAAGAGACTGTCAGTTCCCCTGGATCTGGAGTTACAGACATCTGTCACCCACCATATGGGTGCTGGAAACTGAAGTCAGGTCCTCTGCAATAGCAAAAGGCACTCTTAACTTTTGAGATGTCTCTCTAGTCCTGTGTAGATCATTTGTTCATTCTCGATTGACTTTTGTATCCTGCGATATACGATTGTCTATATTTATATTTGTGCATGGGGAGGTCTGCTTGTCCCAAAATAAGACAGAAAGACAGGGCATTGAAGGGGATATGAGAGGGAACACACAACCCCTCACCCTGTAATCATTTTTACATTTTTCTGACATTCAAGACACCTCAAGCCAACTGATAGAGCCAAAATTACCTGCAGATATGATGCAACTATTCCTAAAGACATCCGATATAATGTTTAAAAATAACAACAAATAAACTAGAGTCTGAAGATAGGGTTCATTCTTTAATATCACTGGATGTCTTCCAGAGGATCCAGGGTTGATACCCAACACCTACCCGATGGTTCACAACTGTCTGTAACTCCAGTTCCGAGAGATCTCATATAGTCTGGTACTGTCTGTGGGCATTAGGTACTCACGTGGTGCACAGACTTCCCTGTGGAAAAGCATTCAAAAGCAGAAAATAAAAAACGCAGTTATGCTTTCTTAGGGGCAGAATACTTGTAGCCTTGAGATGGATGATGATATCACTCTATTCTATCGCCTAAGTCACATAATCACCTTACAATTTAATTTACTGAAAGAAACTTTAAAAGGAATAAGCACATTTAAAAGCATTGCTTTTTATTTTCATTTTTTACTTTTTAATAACCTATTGAATATTTTTTCCTAATGGAAAAATAGAACCCATTTAAAGAGTAAAAATATTCTTATAGTTAATTTAAAAACCTGAATATAGGCTTTAATGTAATTTAATCTTGAAATTTTCTGAATTACATTCTTTCAGCAATGTAACTTGAGAGCCATAAAAATCCTCCCATTTCTCCGTCTCCCACTGTACCTCCCTCCCTGCCCACCTCACATACCCTTTGCAATGACACCTAATCTCATGTCTCTCTCCAGTCCACTCTCAGGCCATCATGCAGGAGCCATCCTTATTCTGTGTGAGCTTCTATCCACAGGATTAATAAGCTCACAACCTTTGCTTCATCCTGGCGGTTTCTGAAATTCTTTACTGCATCCTAGATTCATCTTTACCAGGGTCAAGGTCATCAAAGCGACAGGGTTATCCTCAGGCTGCTGGTCACTGTGCTGGGCTGTACCTCCCTTCCACTTATGGGGAGTCCCAGAAAAACTCGGTGAAGCACAAATGTCTGCTTCACTGAAGTGTCTTTTAGTCTTTGCTAAAGGTGTCAACTCACACATGTGTGACTCTTCTGTCCCCTTCATATTCTTTTCTGTCTTATTGTCATTTCCAATCAGGCACGCTGTCTACATTTCTCTAGGTTTATAAGGAGTTTGGAAGTCAGGTGTTCATCCTCCAAGTTTGTTCCTTTATAAGGTTGTTTCAAGCTGGGGTTCTTCATATTCACTGTGAGTTTCAGGATAAGCCCATTAGTTTATGAAAAGTCTGTTAGAGTTCTGTTGGTATTGCACTGGATCTATAGGACTGTATGAGGAGAACAGACACCTGTATCTTCCATTGCATGAAGATGATTGTAGCGTGAGTTCTAATTGGTCTTAATAATAAAATCTGGAGTCAGATATTAAGTGGTTGGAGCTATAAGATCAGAACAGCAGAGCACCAGACACTAGTTCTTTCCTCGACAAAATCCTCAGATCAAATGGAGCATCCTGTCTCTACAAGACCTCAGACTGACTGCCTGGATCTGCTATCTCCTCCCACCTTATATTCCTCTCTTTTCCCAGCCACATTCCTTTCATTCTCCATCTCCCTCGTGCTGGGATTAAAGGTGTGTGACACCAAAGCACTTTGATGAAAGATGTGAGTCACCACTGCCTGAATCTGTTTCTTTTTTGGCCGGATCAATCTAATGTAGACCAGGATGGCCTTGAACTCACAGAGTTCTGTTTCTTAAGTGTTGGGAAAGGTGAGTTCCAACACTGCCTGTCTTCTGTGGCTAACTAGTGGCTATCTGCACACACTGATTCTCATGCAAGCTTTATTGTCATGGAAGAAACAAAATATCGCCACAGTCGATGAATCTATACATCTTTACTCTCAGCAATGAGTTGTCCCATTCAGTGTCTAGGCACTACAGAGAGGTGGGCAGATTTTTCCTAATTATTTCATATTTCCTGATGCTATCTCCAGTGACAGGGATTTTAAATTACAGCTTCCACACATTCATTTCACTGTGCTCAGCTGTCTGTGTTAAATTTAGACAGAGTTATTGATGAATCTTTTAGGTTAAAATATTTAATTACATTCTCTATGATGAAAATGTCTTTGATGCTAACATATATTTGCTGTGTTTAAAATTCAGTACTTTGAAGTTGCAAGTGAATTATGAGAAAAGAAACAAATGTCCAACACCCAGTTTGGGGGAAAATTTCAAAGGCAGCCACAGGTCAAAGGTTTGCCCCAATGGCATTTTTGGAATCATAGAGATAGTCCTTTACCTCCCAGCCAGCTCCATCAGGGAGGTGCTGAGATCACGGTGGAGAGAAAGAAGGGGATACATGTGAAGAATTAGGTATGTATGTGTAACTCCAGAAAGGTTTGTATTATGAAGAATACTTAGGTAATTATTTTCAAAATATCTAATATTATTTTTCCCAACACAAAAAGGAAAAGGTTAGTACTCGTGTGTTTTCCCTCTTGTTTTCCCATCCAGTCATGCAGATTTTAGCAGTGTTGCTGTCGACTTGTACAGAGGGGTGTTTTATGTATGGTTCTTTCCATGTTTATTATAACCATGACGCCTGCTAAGTGTTGCTCTGATGCCTACTTCCCTGTGCAGTTACTAGTATACAAGCATTGCTTGTCTTTGAGTAAAGTTTCCCTTTTATCTTTTGTTTATTAATGGATTTACTCATGCGTTTGTGTCTACTCAGAAACACCCATTTCTTAAAGGAGTACTCCTTTGTCATCATTATATACTGTGATGCTTAAATTATCCCATAACATGCCCGTGGGAGTACATTCAAGTGGACCTGCTCTTCATTTGTTATCTGTCTAGAATTCTGGATTATCTGACCACCCCTGGGAAGAAAGCCAAAAGCAAATGCTTCTTGTCAGTGATACTTTGTGTCCTCTGTCTATAAATGTCAGGTCTCTTCTATGAGAAGAACAGCAGGACTGCAGAGAGAACACGCAGAATGTTGACAAGAAGCTGACATGAGCCCTTGTTTCCAGTATGTGAGTCATCATTGCCACCAATGTGAGTGTGTGTGTGTGTGTGTGTGTGTGTGTGTGTGATGTGTACATGGGTGTGTATAAAGGGTCTGTGAAATGAACAAAGAAGAGGAAGATGTCACTGCACATCTTTGACCTGACTGGATGCAGACAGACTACTCCATCCTTATATTCAGTACAGTAGAGTGACAAGATCATGTGGGACTCACCAGGTGAGTCATTTCCTTTTCTCTTCCCATCTGTGTGACCAGCAGCTGGTCTGTGACTCCTTGTAGGAACACATCCTGTTGAGCAGGTCGCAGCAAAGAGCAGCACACTGTGAAACAATGGCATTCATAGACTCCCCAGATGACTGAACCCTGTAGGGGTCCCTTTAAATGACCAGGACTGAAATGGAAGCAATACCCATCAGACCATTTCCCCGAATGGGCCATGCATGACTGCATCACATTTGGAGGGATTGCTTATTAAGATGGTAGAAATCTGGATCCACAACAGACACTGAATCATGCTTATTAAAATGGTAGATATCTGGGTCCACAGCAGACACTGATTCAAACCCTAGGAAGTGAGTGTGGCATAGCCACTTCTTTCTGATGGCTGTCCATGTTAAAACATATTGCTAGTGTGTTTGATATTCTGTCTTCCAGGATATGAAGTCACAGACTGCTTAAGTCCATACCATGTTCTCTTGTTACTGCCTTAAATACCAGTGTGTTGCATGGCATATCAATTAGACAAATCAATTTCTTCGTGTACGTTTATCCAGATATTCACATAGTGGCCTCTTTAGTGAACACCTTGTTCCTGCACTGTGAAGACTAGCACGGGTCCTTGTATATCGTGTTAGATAGGCAAACTGTCAGTAAGCAGAAGAAATCAGTAATCACAGCAATTCCGTGTATTATTGGCGCTTTAAAGATCATAAAGGGGACAGGAAACAGTTGTGATGGGGATTGTCGTATGTGATGTTACCCCCTAAGGTTTCAGAAGTTAGCATGTGATCTGAGTCCTGAATGGCAAATAGAAGCAAGACCGTGCACAAACCAAGTTGTGGGCGTGCTTGCTTCCATGGAGAACAGTGGATCTAAGAGCAGAGAACAAGGCTAGTTGCCAGAACCTTGAAGACAACGTGGACACTGCTTGAGATAGGACAGAAAGGAAAATGTTGTCATTGTCAGCTGTGTATGACATTTGGATTATATGATCTGTGTGGAAGGTGAGTTATGGAATTGTCATGATTTGTTTCCTTTTGGTAGAAGGTGACTTGGCACTGCACAGAGAAAGGCCTGGGGAGGGCGGGATGAGGTAGTGTGTGGAGACAGTGGAGATGGTTCCGAAGACAGGGGAGGGATGGAGGTATGAAAGAGGGATGAAGCCATGCTGCATCAGCATGATCAGCAGGATAGCTGCCCTGTGCAGCCTTGTCTGGGAGAGGGCAGATAGCACCTGGATGCACTGTGCATTTTCCTTGTGGAGACATTGCTCTAACATCTCTGGATTTGTCTGACCACATTTAGACACGGTGCTTCCATTTAATGACATCAGTTATTCCACGTGTATTGACACAGGATAGTTTGAATACCCAATCTAGTCATTGTAAAACTTATCAATTTGATAACGAGTTGCTGATGAATAATTTTCAGATGTAAAGTTTTCTAAGTACAGCTAACTGTAGCATAATTTCCAAAAGAATAAGAATCTAACATTTGTCTCATAAAAAGTGAACACAAAATTCAGTGTATTTTTGAAAATGGCTGTTCTACAGCATGTACTGCTCTTGGCAGGGTTACAGATGAAGGAAGTGAGTAGGTTTTAGGCAGAGTTGAAGTGAAATCAGTCTCTAAATTCTGCAGCAACTGTTTGTCCCTATTTCTTCAGAAGAAGACTGCCTTTAGAAATGCTTATTTTTGACAGCTGGGCATGGAGCAAACATTCACAAGACAGAGGCAGTTGGATGTCTGAGTTCAAGGCCAGCCTGTAATTCCAATTGCATATATCAACATTAGTCTGTCACATATGCAGGAACTTGTGACTGGTATTTAAAGCAGGTATTATCACTAAAGACCCACAAATTAGCACATGAGCAGTGTGATGCTCTCAATTCACAGAGTGGGAAGCACAGCTCAGAGCAGAGGGTCTCACTCTGTTTTCTCCTCACAGAAATTACCAGCCTGTGTTTGGAAAATGGGTTCAGGACATCCTGGCTCAGGGAACCAAAGTTGCTGGGGCTAGGAAGGTCCCACATCTCTCTGACTCTAGAAAAGTGGTTCAACCTGTGACTTGACCCCTTCAGCAAACATCTATCTCCAAAACTATTTCCATTGTGATTCTTACCTGTAACAACTTTACAGCGGTGATGAAGCAACAGAAATAATTTTCTGGTTGGGATCACCACGCATGAGGGACTGTATTAAGAGTCACGTCACAGCATAGGAAGGCTGAGAACCATTGCTGTACAGACATCCAAACGCAGAATCCGGCTTCTCAGATATGTCTGGGATCCCTTCATCATTGTCCCCATACTCCTAGGGAGGCACAGCCCCACACCAGGACACATACACTCACATCTTCGTGCAAGGGAAATCCTGTTCTTCTTTCTCCGTCATTTCTATTTCCACACACTATATTTCCAAATTTTCTTTTTTATGTCTTCAGCACTGAGCTTAAGGATGTGTCTGATTCTTTGACCAACCTTTTTCCTGTTTTGTGATTCTTCTGCAGGGTCTGGGTCATTGGCTGTGCACACACATCCACAGACAGTACAACAACAGCCTCTAGTCCCTTGTTGCTGACCTTTGGGAAGCTGGGCATGTAAGGTAGGTTTGCTGGCAGGAGACTTGCTCTCGGGAACAGGATGTCCTTGCCAGAGGCTGGACTCTAGGATGCTACAGCACTTAGATCTGCCCAGCATCTGACGGCCCGGTCCCAAGCTCTTCACAAATGTGGTGGGAGCACATGTGGGGATTTTTAAAAGTGGTCCCTAGACACTGCTATTGCTCCCCTGGCTGTGCACACATTCCCAGCTATATTCTTGATTTCTCTGGTAGCTGTTCAATGAGAATGCTATACCATGAAAAGAAATCACTGGTGAATTTAAAAAGCCACAGTATGGGGACTGGCGACATAGCTCTCGTGGCAGAATGATTGCCTAGAACGGAAATTGCTCTGTGTTCTTTGACCCTCTCGGCATGTTCACCCTCACCTGTAATACCAGCACTCAAGGCGTAGAGGGAGGAGGAAAGAGACAAAAGAGTCATTACTGTTTATGAGAGTATGGCTCCCAGCCCCCATGGCAGATAGCTCACAACTGCCTTTAACTCTAGCCCCATCAGGAGTCAATGCCTCTGCCAATCATGTGCATACCACAGACAGACAGACAGACATAATTAAAAGTATAACTAAAATCTAAACAAGAAAAATAAGAAGCATCAACTCCAGGTCATTGACCAAGGGGAAAACACAGTGGATTTTAAAATATGAACATTATAAAGGCTAACGGAATCTAACAGTCTACAGTCTGGCAGGGGAGATGACTCAGTGGTTCAGAGTGCATTCTATTGTTGCTGAGGATCCAAGGTAGTTTCCAGCATCCATTTCCAACATCCTTGAAGGACCATACCTCAGCTCCAGGAAGGTATGACCTCTCCTGACCTTTGGAGGCACAGGAATTCATGTGTACATACACATAGGAATATACACAACGTAATTATTATTAAGTTGTGTACATTTTAAAATTATGTACAAATTAAAATAATTGTTGTGAAACAATGAAGAAAAATGGTCAAATGCCAGGCAGTAATGAGAACAGTTTTCATCAGCGTTAGGTGGCAAATGCGTGCACTTCCAGCTATTTGAACACTGGGGTTACACGATCGATCATTAGTGCTAAAAAGTTTCAGAACAGCCTGAATAGCATAGAGAGGCCCTAACTAACAATGAAAACCAAACAAAAACCTAAAATATCTCGTCAATGCTAAATTTCCTAAAATAGCAATCTTAGAATTCATGGTTTTTCAAGAGATGTGGATCATTATAAAATAAATTTTTGCAGGGAAATCAATGATAAAATTACTTATTTCTTGGGAATTCACCCATATACATGTAGAAATGGAATGAAAATGTTACTGGGCCGAGAAGAAAACAGTAGCATTAAGAATGTGTTTACATTAAAATGAATACATGAGCTGGGGCAGTGTGCTAAGCTTGGAAGACCAGCAGCACTCTGAAGGCTGAGGGAGGAAGGGGAAGAGTCCCAGGCTGGGCTGGGCTGCTCTGAGACTCTGCACTAAACACACAAAGTAGTTAGCAGGACTATTATCATTCCATTCACTGTGGGAAAGTTTCAGCTTAGTTCTGTCATGGGAAGCCATCCTCTTTCCCCGGATATGAGGCACATCAATGTACGCCCCTGGCCCAGACATTTTAAAGATTACCATCCCCTAAATGGGAAGGCAACTTCGTCACCACCACATACAGCAAGGCGTATAGAAAATGGTGGCTTGGACTGTACTCAGATTGCTCACTCTCAGGAGATTTCCCTGCAGACAGCCCTGTGCCTTAGGGGTAGGAATCAGCCCAGCGACAGACAGATTTCCTTATGGTACTATATGTGCTTTCCTGTGGTGTTTGAAATTTCGTATCCAGGAAGGAAAGTACTTTAAAGTGTAAACTGAGAAAAATGCTTGCGCTCGGGTGGTAAAAGTGGGGCTGGGGAGACAGCTAAATCAATAAATTGCTGGCCTTGTGGGCATGAGGCCCTGAGTGTCATTCACAGAGAGCATTATCAAGAAAATGAAGTTAAACTACAGCAGGAAAAGTAGTAGGTGTGGTGGGACATGCTTGTGTGTGAAGGTGGAGGCAAGCCTATCCCTGGAGTGTGCTGCCCAGCCAACCCAGCCTGCCTTGCGTGTTCCAGGCCAGTGAGAAACCTTGTCTAAGAAAAACTTCAGGGGGATGGCACCTGAGGTACAACACCGGAGGCTGCCTTCTGTCCCCTGACCACATGCATGTATGCATACAATTGCAGAAGCAAACACATATGCACACGGGCACACAACCACACACTGGATAAACGATGTTTATACCTTCTGTACTTTAGAAGTAGTCATTGTGTTCCGTTTCTGGGCAACGAAGTAGAAGGACAAATGGAATCTATTTTCATGCTCTGTGCATGCCTGTGTGCATATGTGTGTGTGTGTTTGCACACAGAGCTCCACCATCTCTATCTAATGAGGCTGCTTTATGTTAGCCTTAGACTGGGATTGGTCTCCAATCTCGGGTTTACATTTGATATACCTAAGATGTCAAGGTTTATGTGCCAGGAAAATATACTGAAGTGAAAAAACACTGCTTTATCTCCAGAGGTAAGGTCCCTTCAAGTCCAGGTCACAGTCAATGTTCCCTCCCACCCAAACATAGACGCCACTGGGCCCAAGACTCTCACTGATGTAGTCCCCATTATGGCCAGGAGGTGGCATTCAAACTACATGCCTACATTTGTTTTCTTAAAAAGGGCTGATGTTTTATGGAATACAATGCGTTTTCAGTGTATTTGGAAAGCTGGCACACATATAGAGCAGTTCCATTTATGGACTCCAGCAACTGTAGTGCTCCACAACTCACTTCATCCTCCCTGAGTGTAAAGTGGGCAGTGCACACGGGATACAGAGTGGTGCTCTGTAGAGAATATGAAAGTGGTGGTCACCTTGAATCCCCTGACACTGGAATGGATGGATTTCCTAGACTTTCCATCTCCTCTCCAGGAGGCTGTGGTACAGTCTCCAGATCGCTGCCTGCCAGGCAAGTTGTATCCTGGTCAGTCACTGCAATTGTGTTGCACCATGCCTGCTGGGGACTTCCAAGAGCAACCTGGTATTTGTGGTGTGGTAGCCAAGTATGTTTCCATGGTGTTTGTGGTGTGGTTGCCATGTACTTTTCTATGAATATGCTCTGCATATGACTCAGATGTAACATGTATTCACCCTTACGATGTAGAACAAACTTTGGGTCCCTTCTCTATTGCAGGGAGATCTCCAAATTATTTCCTTTACCTCACCATCATTTTGGAGCCACTAATTTGATATTGAAAGAGAAATTATCCCCTGTGCCCTACAAGAAGAGATAACACAGAAGAAAAGAGGCAGGAACTGCAAGTCCCTTGACAGCCACAGGACATTGACTGAGCTACTGTTCTATTGCTGGGAAAAGGCGCTGTGCTGAAGGGAATTTACAGAACAAAGCATTAAATTGGGAGCTTGCTTTCAATGTCAGAGGGTTAGTCCAGTACCATCACTGTGGGCAGCATGGCAGCAGGCAGCCTGGCAGGGCACTGAAGCAGTAACTGAGAGTTTACATCCTGATCACAGGCAGGAGGCAGAGGTCTTTTGAGTCATCAGAACTCACACCCAGTGACACGCCTTGTCCAAAAAGGACACACATCCTAATCTTTCTTAAATTATTCACCATTGAAACATTAACCATAGGAGCTTACGGGGACCATCCTCATTCAAACTACCACTGTCATGTAAGGGATTTCCTCTGCCCCATCAGCAGCTGCAGAGGGAGAATTGGGGCTGGTTGAATACTCATGAGTGCATTGACTAGAATCTGTTCCAAGATGTCAGTCATTAATACAAGAGACTACTGTGGGACATTTGGGCAGAGCAGGAGGCCATTCCAGTTACTTGTAGACAGTAGTCCCCTTTTGGCCCTCTTCATGGACAAACCTGTGTATACTAAAACTGTAAAGACCTTGAGCACACAGGAATTTATGAAACAACATCTGTCTTGGTCACTGTTCTATTGCTGTGAAGAGACACCATGAGCAAGGCCACTCTTATCAAAGAAAGCATTCACGTGCCTTGCTTATAGTTTCTGAGGTTGGTCTGTTACCATCACGGCAGGGAGCATGGTGGCACACAGGCAGACATGGTGTTGGAGAAGTAGCTGAGAGTTCTATTACCTGATCCACAGGGAGAGAGAGGCTGACACTGGGCCTGACATGGGATTTTGAAATTCAAAGCCCACCCCCAGTGGCACACTTCCTCCAATGATGCCACTTCTACTCCAACAAGGACACCACATCATCTAAGCCTTCTCAAAGAGTGCCCCTCCTTGGAGACTAAGCATTCAGATACATGAGCCTATGGGGACCATTCTTATTCAAACCTCCACACCACCTCCAGACTCCAAGAGATTTGAGCTCTGTGTTTGCCAGGCGCATATCCCTGGGATGGTCTATGCTGTAAAGCTTCCCTTTTATCCCACATTGATGCTTCCCCAATTTTCTGCAAAGAGGATGTGGGAAATTTCTCTCTTTTTTAGCATAAGGTGACCTTCTCCCAACTTTGTGCTCCTATAGGGGTAGCATAAACACAACTTGGCCAGTAAGGTTTCCCTTCAAATTCTGCAGTTGCTTCTAAGATACAGTCTGAGTCATTATACCAGGATATCAGATGTGCACATTGCCAGAGTTTTGTGGAACTCATCAATTTCTCAGACATGCACAGACAGGTGTTCTCTTCGGGTGCTTAGCTGACTTGGGGCAAATGAAAACATCGTGCAACTAACTAAAACGGGAAACTCGGAGATTTGAATTGTCAAGATGCTTGAAGAAGCAGCCCCACTGGTAAAAGGAAGTGTCCTTTAGTCATTTCTTGTGAGTGGGCACAAATATCCACAGGGGAATTTCCTTTTGTAAGAAGCAGCTATAGAATGAGATGGTGGCACATGCAGACAGGCTACCACCATAATAAATTCCTAATGCACTGAAGTAAGTTAACTATGTACGCCACCGTTGGGGAGCTGGAGAGATAGA